ATAGACAGCTTTTTCATCCCCCTCTGCTTGGCTCTATTGTTCCTGTCTTATCAGGGTGGGCCAGATGGGAGCTGAGGGTTCAGCTCAAGGTAACCAGCAGAAACTCCTGTAGGGTGGGTCAATAAAATCCCAGCTGATTATCTGTGGCACTGCTGAGTAGACACTGAGCACTTGCCACACATGACATTTACAGGGGGTTGGATAATAAGCACCGAAGCCACTGACAGAATATAGGTGCCCCCATTTTAAGAATGACAATATTTGTAATTAGCTCAGCTGGAATAGCTGAGTATTTTAATGCCTTTAACCACTGGAATGCAACAAATGCAGTGTTTGATTTTAGAACAGGTGAGGTGCAGAGGGGTCTCTGGAGATCATCCAGTCCAATCCCTATCTCGGATCAGGGTCAGCCAGGACAGGTTGCTCGGGGCCATGACCAGTCATGTTTCGAGGATATCTAAGGATTGGGAATTCATAGCCTAGCTAGGTAATCTGTTCCTTTACTTGTAAAGTGATTTTTTTAAAAGTTCAAATAGAATTTCTTGCATTTCAGTTGGTGCATATTGTCTCTACGGGGCACCACTGAGAAAAGCCTGTCTCAGCTTCTTTACTGTCTCCCATTTGTATTTGACACATTGATAAGATCCCCCTGAGCCTTCAGTTTCCAAGCTGTGGAATGTGGAAGTGTTCCCACTTGCTGACAATGTTTTATTTTATTTTTTTTTAACTTTTTTGAAAAACTATGGGCAGGACAGGTGCAGAGTCTGAAGTAAAGTTGGGGTGTATAAAGAAGTTCCAGTTGAACTAGAAGATAAGGTTCTAAGTTTTGTTGTTTGTTGCAGTGGTGGGAATTAACACATCTTACTGGATCTGCTGCTGTTAAATTTGGTGGGAATAGAGCTGGCCCTGTAGGATTGAATTTTTTAATTGTGGAAGTAACTGGGAATGATATCAAAAGGAATGACTCTGGGAAAGCCTGTGACTGACAGGACAGACTGACAGGCAGCTGCAGTGGGGACGTTCCCCTTTGGTTTGGGTTCCCGTGCCCACGTGAATAAATTTGGGAGTGAGGGTCCTGGGGCTGGAAAACACCCGAGCAAAACTCAGTAAGGCAGCCCTTCCGACTGTCCACACTTATCAGATTGAAGGGATTCCTCTAATTCTGCAGGAAGCTTCTGGCAATGCTTGTGGAGAGGATGGGCCAGCATGTTGCCCAAGAGCTTTCAGGGAGCTGCTTTCACACTTGTGTATCATTTGTTTTCGGCTCTGTAAAGAAAGTTTAAGCCGGGGTCCCCAGAATCAAAGCTGTCTGAAGGGAGGTAATTGTCCACTTGTTAACCTGGTGGTTCCACTGGAATGTGCTTCAGAAGTTGGGGGGATTAAGGCACTTGAGCTAAGCACCTGGGTTTAGGTGTAATGGATACAGCCTGGAAACAACACAACCAACAGGATATATCTGGGGTAATTACACACACTCTGATCTACCTGCTCACCTGAGCCCTGGTTCATGGGAGTTGCTCACGATGAATTACCAGCCATTGATCCTGTTTGGTGGGTTAATAGATATGGTTTGGAGATCTGATCCCCCCTCTTATAAACTGCTGAGGGCTGATCAGGAATGTGACTGCAGCTGTGTTTCAAGTGAGTTCAAAATCACTCCTGTGCAATTCCCCATATCTGAAGTTTTATGTCTACATATTTTTTCAGCTGATAAATTTTGTGAGGGGAATGCATTACACATCCTACAGTATTTTTTCCTAACCGCTTTAAGTGGTGAGGAATGCCTTCAGCAGTTTTGAACATTTAGGACTGACTGGGGTGTTTGGGCACTTCTGAGACAGCTTGTGTGGTTATTAGGCCTGATTTTGTGCTGTTGTTAGACCTGTTGGCAGTTGACACCAGCTGTTATTCCCTGTGGGGTTGGGTTAGGTTTGTTAGGTGTCACGCTGGATTTCTGGGATGGTGGGATACGTTACTGAGCCAAGAGCATTTGTTTTCTTTGACTGCACCCAAGTCTGTATTGCCAAAGGTGAACGCCCAGGGTGTGGGGACAGGAGCTAAGAGCAGTTGAGGTTAATAGGGTTGTCACCCTTCAATAAGTTTGTGATGGTTTTGTAGTTGAAATACTTGTCACAATAGGCTTTTCTGGTATTTTGGTTATGGGCAGCATTGCATCCTACCTTGAATTCCCAGGGAGCAGTGTGACAGTGCAACTCCTGTGTGCTGACAGAAATGAGGGAAAGATCAGGTGAGAAGTGTACAGCTTCAGGATGGAAATGGAAAATCCTCAAATTATGTCTTTCTGTGTCACTCCTGTGGGAAATAAAGAATCGGTTTTATTACAAGCAAATGAATTTAGCAAATCACTAACATAAGAGTTTTTCTTTACTAACCTATAGGGCCTATCGCGGAGCTGTAAGACGCCGGATTCAGCCTGGAACCGGTGTCAGGGAAACATGCGAACGGGAATAGGGGAACTGTAAATGAATATTGGTAAGGAAACCCCTTATACCACATGGCTGGTCCTGGAAGCTGCCGTGCTGCTGGACACTCCAGCTCCCAGCACGACACAGCCAAGCAGAAAGAGGGGAACGCCTCTTCTATGACGTAAACGGGGTTGAACCTTAAGAATGTTTAAAAAGCGGGACTTTTGAATTAAAGGGGGTGTTCCTGGGAATCCTGCGTGCCTAGGACACCCAACACGTGTTGTAATTTTTCCTTTTCGTTTTATTCCTTTTGTTTTGCAAACTTTTGCCGTCTTTCTAAATTCAATAAATGAGATTTTTCTCACACTCCTTCCTCACACCTTCCAGCCCTGGCTTGCCTCCCTGGGTGCTGCCCTTTTGCTGCTCACAGTGACTCCCAGAGAATTCTTCCTTTCACCAGGCATCAAGTCTCTCGGGAAAATCCGCTCATTTCCTGGCTACCACAGATGTCTCCTGCAATCCTGTGTCCTTATTCTTTTCCAGCTTGAAGACCAAAGTAAATACAGAGTTGAAAATGTAGCAGCAGGTCACATCTCTTTTAGGGACAGAGGGAGAAGTGATGGATTTGGCTGAGTTGTGTTCTTCATCCCCTTTACACCACTGCCCCATCACCTCTGGGTTTTCAGGACCATCATGTGTGATTTGTAGTTTTCAGAACCATCGTGTGTGATTGAAATTTTGTTCATGTTCACGTTCAGATATATCAATGATTTTGTTTCTTTAACTGTCCAAGAAACGTTGTAAGAAGAAAACACGCAGTACACCATCACCATGTACTAGAACAATCTGCCTTAATCCAAGGATTACTTACTAGGAATAAACAAATATCAGATAAAGACTGTAAAAGGCTTAGTTTTCTATGAGAAAGGGCTGGGGAGGAGGAAGAATTTGTGCAAAATTGGAGTAAAATGAGAAATGGGAGATGGCCTCTCTCTTTAAAACCAGCATCTGTGTGCAGAGCAGTCTTGTTTGTAAATTAAAAGAATAGCCACATCTCTACAGGTTCCACAAATGAATTCCATGGATGTCTGATGCTGATAACAAATGACTGTTGTACGTCTTCCCCAAAATCCTCGTTGTGACTGTGATTGCAGCTCTAATTATGGCATAACAGATGCAGTGTTGTATAGCACCCGCCTTCTCCGAGATCTGTAGCTCCCCTTGCTTTTACATGAGTTATTTCTCATTTTAGTCTAGAATTTACTACTGCTTGCAGTAACAAAGAAGTCACTCTAAAGTAAAGAAAAAAAAAAAAGGATTTCAGATTGTTACACTGCTCACGTTGTTGTGCTGCAGATGTTTGTTGTGTTCGCAGCCAGGGCGATTGTGGGAGAGCGAATTCATGCCTCATTGGGTCCTTTCCACTTTCTCCAGCCTCTCCTCTGCTGAGTAAGCAGTTAAAGGGAGTTTTTTCTTTTGTTCCCCTGCCTTCGCTGCTGTTTGAGAAGGAGGGCAAGTTACTTGGCTGTTTTGTTCAGTTGTAAGTGGAAGAGTATAATGTTTTTAAGACTGCATTTGCAATTCTCACATGCATTTACATGTGAATGTTGCTGTGTTGTTCTTCCAAACCAAGGAGGAGGTGATTTATTTTAGTAGTACAAACTAACGCCTTGTGCTGTGTCAATCACTCTGCCATTGTCTGCTTTAGTGCTGACACTGAATCATCTCTGGGATGTTACAGTTGTGGCCAAACACCTCGTTCCAGTTGTGTGGGTTTGGGGACGGGGAGGCGGGGTGAGCTGCACCTCGTGCCACAGGGATGTCTCATCCCTGGGAGTGTTCAAGGCCAGGTTGGACGGGCCTTGGAGCAACCTGGGCTAGTGACAGGTGTTCCTGCCTATGGCTGGAGGTTGCAATGAGATGATTTTTCAGGTCTCTTCCAACCCAAATTATTCTGTGATCCTGTGATGTGGGATGCCCGGGAAGCACAGGGTGTTCCTTCCCTGAGCACAACCAGGCATGGAGGAGCATTGGTGACTTTTTAGGGGCTGTTTCGTTTTTGAGGAAGGAGGACACAACCCAATACTTTGTTCTCAACCTCTTTCCTCCACAAATCTCTTTGTTTCTTGGGTCTGCTATTAAAAGAAAGCAAAATGATAACCTTTGGCCAGGGGCAGTCTAACACCGTCCCTGCAATTTTTGTCTGGCTGATGAAGTAGAAGTGCACACCGTGCATTTTCCCATGCGACCTTCGCCTTCGCGAGCTCATTTCGGGTGGAGAGAAAACAACTGGCGAGGCACCGATAGCCCGGAGGGGCTGCGGCTGCCCCACCCCTGCGAGCGTCCAAGCTCCAGGGGCTCGGAGCATCCTGGTCTCCAGCGGCAGCAGGTGCGCCTGCCCGCGGCGGGGGGGGGGGTGTGCTCAGAGCCGGGAGATGAGCTCGGAGGGTATTTTCCCACCCCGACCGTGGGTGATTCCGGCAGCGCGGGGTGTGCCGTCCCCGCCCCGCCACCGCCGCCACCACGGCAACGCGGCCGCTGTGCCCGCCCCCGGGCCGGCCCCGGCGGTGCCACCCTGGGCTGGGGCTGGGCGCCGAGCCTGCATGGCACGGCAGTGCCGCTCGCCAGCAGCATGAACGAGGAGGCGGCCCAGAAGAGCGACGGCGGCGAGAAGTGCAACGGGGGGGGCAGCCAGCGCAGGAAGAGACCCAAGAAGGTGGGAAGCGGGACCGGGAGCTGGGGGGCGCGGAGCTCCTGCCCTGCCGGTGCTCGGCGGGGCGAGGGGGGTTCTCTCCCCATGTTGGGTCTCTCCATGTGGAGCCCATAGCGCTGCGATAGCCGAGCCGGAGGGTGGTTCCTGCGTTTCTCGTTCCGTGGAAGTTGGCGTGGTTCGGCAGGGGATGCTGCCCCGGAGGGAGCGGGCGGTTTGTTTTGACAGAAGGGGGTCTTGGCTCGTGTGCTGCCGTCCCTTTTCCTTCAGGCGGCACAGATAGGCGGGTTTATGGACCTTCGGTTTATTTTTGCCGGAGGTGTTTCTTAGGTCGTGCCGTAAACAGTCCTAGGGAGGTAGATCTCGCTGGCTGTTGTGCCATCCGCGGTAATTCAGTGATGTTAGCGACGAGTAACGGGGTAAAAATGTGAATTGTCCAGCCACACCCAGTTCCCGGGGCACGTTCCCCGTGTGTCCAGTCTCTCTGTCACAAATGGTTGATTTGCAAGGTGCAGCGTGCAGTGCCCGCTGCTTCAACCCCCCGCTTGAGGTAATCTCTTTTTAATGGCTTTAATTGCAGGCGGCTATTTATTTCTGTTTGGGCTTTCTCTCCCCCTTAGGAGGAAAGATGTCTGTGGTGCTGCATAATTATGACATAAACGGGTTTACAGTTAGTCCCCCCCTCCCCTTTTTTTATGTCAATTGGTGTAACAGGGGTTACCCCATTGAAATTTGGGGTGGCTGTTTGCGGGGTGAAGAAGAATTTAATCCGTATGAAGTATATTCACTGATGAATTCTTCAGTCTCTCATTTTGCATAGAATTTGCATTTCAACCAACACTGTACACGAGCAAGACAAATTGCTACAAATTGAAATAACACCCAGACACGTATTCAGGGACTTGTGCAAAGGCTTTGACCTGGTGAGAAAAAGCTCCTTTGCAATAAGGTGACACCATCAGGCCCTTTTTTATTATAGAGGGAAGGTTCTGTACCTACAACCATAAAGGCATGAGAGAATCCAGTCTAAGCGAGAATTTGAACAAAAACATCGTCACCCCACCCCATTGTGCTTGGAATATTGCCTGGATCTCCACACAGTGGGGGATTTTATATAGCATCTTGGCCTTATAGTTAAGCAGAACCGAGTAGGATAGGGGATATTTGCCTGTCTCACCTCTGGATTTGAAAGGTTTATTTGTGTGGGTATGGAAGTCTGTATGAGGGAGCAAAAATCAAATGATTAAGTGCCTACCCGATGTTTTAATTTGACTTTTAGATAACCTGGGAACAGTATCATACTAGGAGAGATGTTTTGAAGATCCAAGGAATCAAAGTGGGTGTTTTTATCACTTTTTTTTTTTTTGTAATCAATGTATTTGTGATTTCGTGTTTTCCCGTTGTTTTCCAAGTCAAGCGGCCCAGAGCCTTTCAAGGTTGAAACAATTGCCAAATGAATGCTTGGAAAGCATCTCTTACTTATTGAGTCTCCATATTCAGAGTCTTTACAACAGCTGATCCATCTTAATTTTTCAAAAGCATAATAAATGGATATCTTCTTGAAGTTATCTTTTGCAACCAGGAAGTATTAATTAGGCGTTTTGAATTAACAGATATTAGGCAAAAATTGTTAAACCCTGAGTTTGGATGCAATAGATGTTCGTGGCTCAGTTCTGATATTAGATAAGCCCACATGAGTCTTTACCCTTAGTGACTTGCTGAGGAAATACAGCTCCAAGCTTTAGTATTCCTTTTAAAATTCCATGAATTAATTTCTGAAAACCTCAAAATAGATAATTTTCTTGATGGGAAAGATACACCTTGGAATAGCCAAGAGTACAAGAATTCCAAATTGAATTCCTCTGTGTTTTGACTAGGTAGGCACAATTTATTTTGGGAACAGAGACAAAAGTGCCATGTGCAAGAGCTCCAAAATCCCAAGTAATGTAGCCTGTTTTCAGGTCCTGAACTACTTTTGCTGTAGAAGCTGCATTGCACCAGCCAACATGCCCTCTATCTGTTCTGCGGAAGTTGATCCCTTTTGTGTGGATAATTAAATATTAATTGAGCTGGATGAGTTTGATCTATGTATTAGGAGAGGCAGAGAGCAGCTTAGCTCAGATACCATGTTCAGCTGGATCTTCTGTATTCCAGGAGGGTGTTCTAGCTTGGAAGCCACATAGGCTTTTCTCTTTAATTTTCAGCAGGACCCCATTTTTTTTAATGCATGCACACTTCAGGGTAAGAAGGCTTCAGGTTTGCCCTAATACAGGAAAGAAAAATTGGGATTTTCATAAAATGGAGAAAATTACTACCTGCACAAAACCAAATTTAATCCTCGTGGTGATGGTTGTGGCTTTGTGCATTCCCGTGGGTCAGTGGTTTGTGAATGCAGTGGTAGGGTTGCATCCAGTTTTCCAGTGGTACTTCTCCTCCATGTGATAACTGGGATATGACAGAATGTGTGTTCCTGGGAGAAAAATCTGGGTTCATCCAATTCTAGTATTGGAGTGCATTGGGATGCAGAAGAGAACAGAACAGGATTGTTCTGCTCCTGGTGTAACTTCATGGAAACCTGCTGAGAGCAGCACTTGGAGTTGGTCCTCTCATCTTGGTAGCCAGCACTGGTGTTGAAGGACTAGTACAGCAAGCCATCATAAATTTATAATATACTGGTTTTTTGATGTCTCCTTTTGTCCTTTACCAAGTACATATTGTGATGGGTCCAAGTACTAAATTCCTAGAATTCCTTTCAAGGATGGTTTTTTTTCTTTCTTGAGTGTTTGAGATGAAAACCAACTACTGTTGTTCACCATGTAGAAAATGAAGCCTGTTCCCATATCTAGTACTTAAAGCCCTGATGGCAAAGGGCTTTCCAGAAGCCACAGGTTCTTCATAAACCCCACACCATTGGTGATTTAGTGCAAAAATAATCTGTTTTAGCTTATAGCAGAATTCCAGTCTTGGTATTGCTCATTTTTTCAGAGAAATTAAAAGCTTGGAGTCAGGCTCATAATGGAAAAGACTTGGAGGAAGTTGTAATGTTGATTTAAAGAAAGAGAAATGAGACTTCTTTTCCTAACCTAAGCATAATCTCCTCCTTTAAATAAAATTGGGTGCATTAGGTGAGGTACCTCCAGTGGAAGTTGTGTACTTGCTAATGGAATCATTGGAGTGTACAAGCAAATGCTTTTAATTAGTTTTGATTACTTATGATTGTTTATTCCGTGCATAAGGTAATTGAGACCCATTTTGGAGTACGAGCATAATGTTGTTCAAGAACAAGAATCCAAATGTACACAAAACATGTGGAGAGGGATTGCTGGAAGAGCGAGCAAAATGCAGAGGAGCTTGGCTTTAGGGTGCTCAAGCAAAAGGCTATCGGAGGGGAAAAGGAAATGATCCTCTTCTGCAGCCTTCTAATGGGTTTAATCAGATAAAGAGCCAAGAGAAACTGAATTATGGATGAGATGTGATTTTTCTAACCTGTCACTGGACTGGATTCAAGCCCTTTGAGGAGGTCCCTCTTGCTCCTGTATTTCTGTGCTTTCACCAACATCATCTGTGATGCCGTAATAATCTTAAACAACAGTTTAGTTGATGGCAAATGTGGCTATTTAAGTATTTTAAAACAGTATTCATCTCTTCCAAAATCAGTGTGAGGACTGGTATGACAGCAGTTCCAGTCTGCTGGGTGGTGTGTCCCTAAATTGCCATCATTCCAAGCTGGCCAAGCCCCACTTTGCCTTCTCTAGTTGCTGCTCTTTCCCTGGCTCTGCTGTTATTACCGGTGACAGACAAATAGCTGTGACCACCCTGCTCTTGGCTGTGCTGTTGGGTGATCCAACCAGGATGAAACCAGAGCCTGCTGCCTCTCCTGAGAGAGATCATGTCCTCTGGTTTCAGAAGAAAGGTTTTCCTTCGGTCGATATGCAGTAAATTGAACAGGCAGAAAGAGCTAATGAGGAAAAAACACAGGCTTTCCTTTCTTTCAGCAGTAGGATGTCTAAAAGGCTTTATCACAAAGGAAAAGTGGTAGTTACAAGTTAACCCAGCTCGCTGGTGTTCAATATTGTTAATTTTAGTGGTAGTGCAGCTTCTGCAAGGTCTTATTCTTTCAGCTGAACCAGTGGGAGAGAGCTGGAACTGCCTTGCTTTCAGCGGAGCTAATCCAATTTACACGACAGTAAACAGGCAGAGAAATGGCACTAGAATTGGCTCTGGAAAGAACAGAATAGATGGGGAAAAAGATGAACTTAAAAGTTTTTAAGTTGTGGAGGTGAGAGACAGGTTTAAGACTGTTAAGGGTCAGACCAGTTGTACTCCTCAATGTCTGCCCTGTGCTTTAACACGATTTGTGCTGTCCTGAATCTGATGTAACTCCACTGATGTTCTTGCATTACTGACATCAGGATTTGCTTTTTCCCTTTGCCTTTTCTTCCTAGCACAGGGCTTCCAGCACATTTTGTCCCAGCTGTAAAACTAATGTCGTAGCTGCAACTGCTCTGATGTATTTAGCTTTAGTTGCTGTGTGTGTGACGGTAACAAACCAAAAATGGTGTGTGTTTGTCCCACTGTGGGATAGAACATTTCACTCCGTGTCCCAAGTTGCTGCAGAGCAACCATTGCATCAGCAGCCCTGTGGTGATCGACACTCCGGGGAAATAATTTCCATTTCCTTAAAGCAGCAAGACAGGGAAAAAATAATGATGGGTGGCAGAGCTGAACATGTGGAGTGGAGCGTTTTGTGTTGCAGTTGTGTTTTCTGGCATCTGAAGATGAAGAGGGGGACATGGTCTCAGCCATGCAGCTGAGCCTGGCTTTTCTAGGTCTTCATGTTCTAGTGGAACAGGGTCACTTCAAACACTCCTGTGCTCTGGGATGAGCAATGAACAAGTCTTAGAGCTAACACAGCTACCTAGAAGGTTACATTTCTTCATTGCGGGCTTTAAAGTTAATATATACATTGCTTTTAAAAAGCAACAGGAATCTGCAAAGGGGTGGAG